AAACCTTCCCATAGACACCCTCCTAAACCTTGTGGACGGCCTTCCCAGAAGAGTTGAAGCTGTTATAGCTGCAAAGGGCGGGGCCAACTCAATATTGAACCCTACGGACTAAGACTGGGGGGCCATATTAAAGTTCATGTGCATGTAAGGGCAGGCTGACCAATAATTTTGGCAATATAATATACAGTATTTGTGATGACGGAAAACAGGAATGATTTGTTGTATAATTAGAACTCTGAATATAATCAGTAATTATTATTATTATTATTACATCGAGTTTATATAGTGCCAAAGGGTTTGCTCAGCGCTGTACAATAGGGGGCACAGTACAACAATAACACACAACGTACGAGGGGTAAGAGGGCCCTACTCTTTCGAGCTTACAATGTAGGAGGGAGGGGGTAATGGTACAGTAGGAAGTGGCTGAGGGGAATGAGGGGTGGGAGGAAAGAGGGAGAATGGCCGTTAGGTGAGGGTGGGGTAGGCTTCCCTGAAGAGATGGGTTTTGAGGGAGCGCCTGAATGTGAGGAGGGAAGGCGACAGTCTGATGGATTGGGGCCAGTGAGTTCCAGAGGATGGGGGAGGACCTGGAGAAGTCTTGCAGTCGTGCATGGGAGAAGGAGACCAGGGAGCAGGATAGGAGGAGGTCCAGTGAGGAGCAAAGGGTACGGGTAGGGCGGTACTTGGGGATCAGGTTGGTGAGGTAGTCAGGGGCAGTGTTGTGAACGGCTTTGTAGGTCAGGGTTAGAAGTTTAAATTTGATGCGTTGGGCAAAGTAATTGGCATTCTTGGCATATACAGACTATTTCATATATGTACATTCCTATCTTTTTATTAGGTTTTGTTCCTGGACAGTGTCTGATGGTTGGTGTCTGATCTGTCTTAACCTGCTCCAGTGCCACAAGACATCTGCTGCTCATCTCTACCTTTAAGAACGCCATACTTACTCCAAAGAAAAATGCCCAAAATTCTGACTACAAGGGCCTAAGCAATGATCAAAAATGAGGCAAAAGAACCAACAAACTTTATAACAGAAAAACACTAAAGTGGTAGTAAAGCATCAAAAATAAAACAAAATCTTCTCCCTGCAAGTTAGCAGCATAATGTGCCTTAGCCATCGCATACTAGCACATTATGAAAGACTTAGCTGAAAACGAAGCCCTCCAGAGGGGCGCTGTCACAGCTTCACCCGGTCTTCCTTCCAGGTTCGCGGGCTGCGACCATTTGATTGACTGAGCCGCGGTGAGATCACTCCCGTGCGCAACGCAATCCATCAACAGCTCAGCACACATGTGCCTGTGCGCATTTAGGAGATATTTACTGTACCTACAGGTAAGCCTGATAGGCTTTCCTGTAGGTATTAATAAACAAACAAAACTTTACAACCACGTGCCCTCCAGAGGATTTACCCCCCTTCCTCACTAGGCCATTTTTTGCGATACTGCGTTGCTTTACTTTAACTTACAATTGCGTGATCATGCAAAGCTGCACCCAAATAAAATTTACACCTTTTTTTTCCCCACAAATAGAGCTTTTTTTCAGTGGTATTTTATCGCCTCTGCGGTTGTTTTTTTGCACTATAAACAAAAAAAGATCAATAATTTGGAAAAAAAACTTTTTTTGACTTTTTGCTATCAAACGTAAAAAAAAAAAAAACCAATTTCACCATAAATTTAGGCCAAAATGTATTCTGCTCCAACCAAAAAAAAATTGGTTTACGTGAAAGTTATAGCATTTACAAATGGCGCTATAGATCCTGGGATTTTTGTTTTTTTACTAGAAATGGCGTCAATCAGCGACTTATAGCGGGACTGCAGTGGGCATTCTGACACGGGGGGGGAACTGACTTGGTGTCACTGACATCCCCAATGACACCAATACAGTGATCAGTGCTAATAAAAAGCACTGACACTGTACTAATGACATAGGGCAGGAAGGGGTTAACATGTGGCACGATCAAAGGGTTAACTGTTTTACTATGTGGGCTGTGTGTGTGCTTCATTGTAAGCACACTGCTTTGCATGGCTCTGCTGTGCAGAGCCATACAAAGCAGTGTGCAGGAGTGGACAGGGGGAGAGATCTGTATTGTTTAAGTACAGGTCTCTCCCCCATCTCAAATCCTCGGGGAATCACACCAGCGGGACCTGGTGATTGACAGCCGAGGCTGCGAATGGCGGAGCCCCCTACCCAGAACTGCAAAATCATGTCTAAATATGTGATTTTGCGCACCCGTGCAGCCCTGTTGCAGTATTTCTGCTATGGGGCGGTGCAGAAGCGGTTAAGATAGAAAATTTAAGCTGCTCCCTTGGGAAACTACCAACAAATCAACACTTATAAAGTCACTTGTCGAGACTGCTGTGGCTGTTATTCCTGCCTTCCTCTTTGGGGGAAAAGAACTAGTATTGGAGAAGGATTTGTCATTTAGGCCTCTTTCACACCATACATGCATAAAAACTGATGGAAAATGACACGCAGATTTCACTGCAGAGACATCAGTGTGCATCATTTTTCCTGCGCTCTTCCATGAGTTTTATACACGATGCAGATTCCTGCGCAGAAAAAAAATCTGCTTGTGATACTAGTGTTGTGGTGTGAACAGGGCACATAGAGGACAATTGATTTAGTTGTGCCCTTGCAGAACACATGCAAAAAAACTGACATCTCTGCAATATGGTGTGGCACATAGTAAGGCTACTTTCACACTGATCTGCCGCAAAAACGCATAGGCATTTCTACCCCGCTGAGCGGTTTTTTTTAGAGGACACGTGACGTAAAAACTGCACCAAAAACACATTTTTCAGGCGTTTTCCATTGATTTCAATGGGAAGAGGTGTTTTTGGGGGTGTTTTTTTAACTCCCCAAACATGCCCCAAAGATGCTGCAAGCAGGAGTTTTTATACGACACCGCAAGCGCAACTCCTTAGTGTGAAAACATACATAGATATTCATACACATGGAAGCATTTTTCTTGAGCTTTTCAGGTGCTTTTTCAACGCAAAAATGCTTAAAAAAACTCCTCAGTGTGAAAGTAGCCTACAGCCACATGCTAACTGGGTGTTTAGCCCCCGTGCATGAACCTCCAGCATATAGGTGCAGGGGGGGTGTAGGGTACAGGTGCACCCTCCAGCCGGTCTGCTTCTCAAACTCTATAAGAGGCTGACAGCTGATGGGGCTGGATGGTACCCTAAGCTGTACTTATTATATGTTTGGTAAAGTATGCATCTAGGGATGAACGCCAGAAATTCAAGCAGTCTTCATGCATTCTTCGGTGCATACTTCACTAGTATAAGAAGTGCTTTGTGTACCGTTCAGTTACAGCAGCTCTCTGCCTCTTCCAAAATTTGACTGGCTGCCAGCAGCGAGGGCTGGACAATTAAGCCAGTACCTTCAAACCCATACCTAAAGACTGGTGCCTTATTCACCATGGCTACAGTGAAGGAAATAAGTATTTGATCCCCCGCTGATTTTGAATGTTTGCCCACTCACAAAGAAATGATCAGTCTAAAAATCGAATGTTAGGTGTATTGTAACACCGAGAGACAGAATAGCAACAAAACATTCAAAAGAAATGCATGTCTAACAAATGATGACTGATTTGCATGTTCATGAGGGAAATAAGTAGTTGATCCCCTATTGTTCAGCAGGATTTCTGGCTACCAGGTGTCTTTCATACAGGTAACAAGCTGAGATTAGAAGCAGTCTCTTAAAGGGAGTGCTGCTAATCTCATTTTGTTACCTACAACATCCCTCCATAAATATCTCCCACCCATATTTTTAATTGTATTGAACTACATTTATATCTGTTGTATCTAGAGATGTGCACGATGAAAAAAATTGTTTCACGTGGGATTCATTGGTTAAGGTAATTTATTTTGTTTCCACATATAGAATGATTAATTTCATAGATTTCGGAAGATTGGCAATATTTGTTTTACGGTGTTAACAGGTTATTTCAGGGGATTACGTATGCACTCTGAGACATCCCTGCTAGTCCAACACACAAAGAAATGGAATGAGCTGTGAGGGGTGTTTTTATAGAATGTTGAAAAATGTTAATGCAAAATAAAACAAAATTGATGCAAAAGAACGAATGGAATGAAATTAATATCGGATGTATTTGTTATGTTATGATTCAGGGATTCTGATGGATCCACCTCCATCCACCCCAAACACAAAAAGTAGGAATCATTATTATCTCGCTTTTGTACCTTACTATATTTATTGCAATGTGTTTTTATTTCATATGGAGCACATATTTTTATAATGGTGAAAAATGTTAATGCAAAATAAATAGAAAATGGATCCCAATCAGTTTGGATCATTCATTACAATGTTGGATTATTTTGGCTGAATAAAACCTTGAAAAAAAAAAAAGACCCAAACAATCGCATCATGTCATTACTATTGTGATTCGGATACATAGGAATCTCAGCATACAGAAAGTTTCATCTGAATTTTGATTTGTAATGAAATGAATTGCACATGTCTAGTATATCATTTGCAAAAATTGGACCGTGTGGTGTTAATATAAATTAAATAGTATTACAGCCAAGAACATCTTAGGATCGGAAAGATTTTCTGTTTTTCAGCAGAAGAACACAATAAAATATGAGGACATTTCTTTTTAGTTCATGCTTTTACACCTAGCTTTCCACTATATATACCAATACTATTTTGATGTAAAAGGTCACACTCTGGGAACGTACGCTTTAATGTGTCACAACTTATAATAGCACAGTTAACTGTAAATGGGCCCTAGAAGATCTAACCACTGACAGCAGTTCTAACCCTTCCTACTCTTACATCTAAAATGCAAAAAGAGAAGATTTGACTTTACATGCACTTCAACTGAATATATGCAAGAACAGTACTAGATTTGTTTAACCACTTCCCGTCCAGCCCACCTATATAAAACAGCCGGATGGTGGCAGTGCAGGGGCGGGTGGCCGTTCATAAATGGCCTCCCCGCCCCCTGCTTGTGCGCGCTCCCTGGGAGTGCGCAGCACCGCGATCTGTACTTTCTCCAGTTCCCCAATGTTGTTTTTGTGAATTGGTGCCCAAAACTGAACTGCATATTCCAGATGAGGTGTTACCAGGGGCAGACTGACCACTTGGAAACTCAGGCACTGCCCGAGGGCCCGGGGTCTGTAGGGGGCCCCATAAGATGCCCCTGGTACCTTTTTGATAGGCTTTTTTGAGTTTGGGCAAGGACACAGGGGCCCCATGATCCCCTATTGCCCAGGGGCCCCATGAGTTGTCAGTCCGCCCCTGCGTCTTACTAATGATTTGTACCGGGGGAAATGATATCTCTCTCTCTGGAGTCTATACCTCTTTTAATACAAGAGAGGATTTTGCTCGCTTTAGAAACCGCAGTTTGGCATTGCATGCCATTATTAAGCTTGTGATCTACCAGAACCCCCAGATCCTTCTCCACCATTGATTCCCCATTTGACACCGTCCTGCTAGCCAACTGTACTCTGCCCTACTGATTTCTGTACAATGTCCAGCTGACCTCCCATCCTCTACCCCCTCGACCTATTTTACTGCACCCCCACATCAGACTGGCTAGATACGGTTTCATATATGTCACATTGATAACTTTTTTTATGTACCCAAGTATTGGCTTATCGTGCCAGATTTAGATATGTTTTAGATATGTTTTCAATAATTTGTAGACCCTAATTGAATGGAAAATTGTTTGGTGTTTTTTTTTTTGTTCTTCAACGTTTACAGATTCATTTGAACACTTTTAGGCTCCATGCACACTGGTGTGTGTTTTTTTGGCTCCTAGAATCTGCTATCACACTACTAGCCCATTTTAGGCTAGTAGTGTGTTTCAACTTCAGTATTGAAAAACAGAAAAAAAAAAAATTTTTTGTGGAATTTTTGGGAGCAGTAGAAAAAAAAAAATCTCTAAATGCTCCAAACAGTGAAAATGCTAAAAAAAAAAAAAAAAAAAACTGTAATGCTCCTAAAGTGCTACCAAAAAAAACTAATACCAGCGTTTTTTGTTTTTTTCTAATCCAACGTTTTTTGAGCTTAAAAAAAAAAAAAAAAACCTGCTAGTGTGCATGGAGTTTCAGAGTGATTTTTATGCATCTTGTCACTCCACTGCACTTTTTGCTCTATTGATGCTGCTAAAGATGAATGGGGATTTTATTAGGTGGTTTTTGCAGAACTGAGGCATAAGCCCTTCACGTCTTTCATTAAAAAAATCTCCAGTCTATGTATAACTTCCTGTTAAAATACAATGTTCATGTTTTTTTTTCTGCAACTACATCAGTCGGTGTTCAGTAGATATATTCTTTAACCAGTAGATGGCGGTGTTTAGAAGTCTGTAGCTGCATCTATGGTTAAACTCTATGGGGTTGATTTTACTAAAACTGGAGGGTGCAAAATCTGGTGCAGCGCTGCAAAGAAATATATCCGCTTCCAGGTTTTATCGTCAAAGCGTAATTGAAAAAGCCTAAGTTGGACTCTAATGCAGCTGTGCATGACAGCCAATCGGCTTCACCAAGTTTAGTAAATATGCCCCTATGTATTTTCTCTGTGTAAGCCATTGAAATGTTATTACATTAGGCCCCTTTCACACGGGCGTTCTGTTTTTTTCATCAGTTCAGTCACATTTTTTTTTTAAGCAAAAACGGATCAGTTTACGTTTACGTGTTTTTCATCAGTTTATGTCCGTTTTTTTTTTTACAGGAAAAAAAAATATAGTTTTCTTCCGTGCAAAAAAACGGATGTTAACGGATATAAACAGATGATCATCCTTTTACATCCGCTAGTCCATAGAAATTCATGGGTGTCCATTTTTTATCTGTAGACGGACAGATGAAAAACGGACATACGCCCGTGTGAAAGAGGCCTAATATTCGATGGTGCCCTTCTAATCATCTCAGCACAGTGCAATTTTGGAAAAGGTTCCTGGTAGACTTCAATGTGATTTCAGCCCCATAGACATTTATGTAATCTCACAGAAGTTGCATCCGCATTGATAAGGAACATTCTTGCAACTTTGATGGATTCAGTGTTATTTTTTTTTATTTAACCCTCACCTCTTCTCCCTGGTCATCCTTCATTCATGGATTTTGATACAGCTGCTATTTTGGAGCCTTTCTTCAAACGATTGATCGACACTTTGATTAATCGATCTTTCCTTTGAATAATTGACCCTTCTTTTGGTCAACCCTTTCATTGATCTATCAAACCTTTCTTTGATTTATCAACCCTTCCTATGAACAATCTATTGACCCTTCCTTCAATCAATTTATTGACCCTACCTTTTATCAATTGACCCTTCCTTTGGTTGGTCAACCCTTTCTTTGATCAACTGTTTCTTGCTTTGATTGACCCTTCAGTTGATCAATCTTTCCTTTGATAGATCCTTTAATCGATCAAAGAAAGGATCAATCGATAGAAGGAAGGATCGATCGAAGGAAGGATTAAATGAAGGATTGATCACAGGAAGGATCGATAATGTCAGGGATCCAGGTATGACCAGAGATGTGTGGACTGACACAGGGAAACAGCAGGCTTCAGAAATGATTGAAAATAATAATAATAAATATTTATTATGAGCTGCACAAAATAAACAAACACAGTGCAAACAAAACAAACCTTAAACTAATAGGTACCGGTGCAGTCAGGGCTGGAGAGGTGGAGTGGTTAGGCAGGCCGGTCAGGAACAATCAGGCAGAAAAAGGGACAATGGGAGCAGGCAGAAGAATGCAGGAGAGTCGAGCAGGCAGGAGACAGGATACAGGAAACAGGGCACATGGGAAACAAACACCAAGGCACTGACTGCAGGTCTGGCCATTCCTTAAATACACCTCCTGCAATCAGCCTCAGGTGATGGCTGATTGCAGGAGTAAGCTTCTGGTTGCTGAGAGCACCTGCTGGCCAGCCCTGGTACTGCAGCCCACAAGGCAGGTGAGTCCCACCACCATTGGCGAGTCCATTCCTGACAGATTGAGTGTTCAAAGGAAGGATCGACTGAGTGTTCAAAGGAAGGATCGACTGAGTGTTCAAAGGAAGGATCGACTGAGTGTTCAAAGGAAGGATCGACTGAGTGTTCAAAGGAAGGATCGACTGAGTGTTCAAAGGAAGGATCGACTGAGTGATCAAAGGAAGGATCGACTGAGTGTTCAAAGGAAGGATCGACTGAGTGATCAAAGGAAGGATCGACTGAGTGATCAAAGGAAGGATCGATTGAGTGATCAAAGGAAGGATCGATTGAGTGATCAAAGGAAGGATCGACTGAGTGATCAAAGGAAGGATCGATTGAGTGATCACAGGAAGGATCGATTGAGTGATCAAAGGAAGTATCGATGAGTGATCAAGGAAGGATCGATTGAGTGATCAAAGGATGGATCGATGAGTGATCAAAGGAAAGATCGATTGAGTGATCAAAGGATGGATCGACTGAGTGATCAAAGGATCGATTGAGTGATCAAAGGAAGGATCGATTGAGTGATCAAAGGAAGGATCGATTGACTGAGTGATCAAAGGAAGGATCGATTGAGTGATCAAAGGAAGGATCGACTGAGTGATCAAAGGAAGGATCGATTGAGTGATCAAAGGAAGGATCGATTGAGAGTGATCAAAGGAAGGATCGACTGAGTGATCAAAGGAAGGATCGACTGAGTGATCAAAGGAAGGATCGACTGAGTGATCAAAGGAAGGATCGACTGAGTGATCAAGAAGGATCGACTGAGTGATCAAAGGAAGGATCGATTGAGTGATCAAAGGAAGGATCGATTGATTGAGTGATTGAAGGAAGGATCGATTGAGTGATGAAGGAAGGATCCATTGAGTGGTTGAAGGAAGGATCGATTGAGTGATGAAGGAAGGATCCATTGAGTGATTGAAGGAAGGATCAAAATAGCTTCAGTGTGAACCTAGGTTATAAAAAAAAATGGATCCATAAAAGGCACATAGGAATGTTTCCTATCTATGCTGATGTGACTTCTGTGAGATAAGATAGAAGTCTATGGGGCTGAAATCGCCCTGAAGTTGGAATATAATGTGAATTTCTTTGTCATACAATTCTGTGATCCCAGGCTTAAGGATTTCTAAAGTCCCATCAATAGTCGCACTGGAAATCGAATTTAAAAAAAAAATTGCATTAGAATAGTGGAAATTGTTATTAGGAAAATGCATCAAAATGTATCAAACGCATAGCTTTAAATTTAACACAATGCTGGAAATATGTGTTTTTGATGATAGGCTTAGAAAGTAGCCCAATTGGTAGGAGACAGCTGGGAAAGATATCATTTTAGATGATTAACGGCTGAGAAACTTCAGTCTGGGTTCACACTGATGCGGTGTGGAATTCGCAGTGTTTTCTGTGCCATTTTCTGCACCACATCAGAATGGCACCCCGTTCATGCAAACCACTGCGGGTGTGTATGTTAAGTTAACAACACCCTGAAATCAGTCCACAAAATGCGCGGTGCGATGTGCAGAATCAGATCGCATAGGTGTGAATACCCATGTGATCCGATTCTAGTGCGGACCAAAAAAGGGTCCTGCACGTTTTTGGTGCGGTGCGGTGCGATCAGAGGCATACAAAATGTACGAATCCGATCGCACCGCACACAAATCGCATGTGATTTGTCAGGAATGCAGTGCGGTTCCTGTGTGAATCACAAGCGATGTACCGCACCGCATGTATGTGAACCCGGGCTCAGTGCTATGCACATTGTGTGTGAACACCTGCAGGCAGATTGGGAGATCTGACCTGGATAAATCCCTAAGGTTACTTTCACACTGATCCGCCGCAAAAGCACAGAAAAACTCAAAAAATGAGTTTTTTTACTGCACTTTCTGGGTGTTTTTCAAAGGACACATGACCTAAAAAACTGCACCAAAACCGCTTCTCAGAAGCATTTTTTTAGAAGTTTTTAAGGCGCTTTTCAGGTGTTTCCATTGATTTCAATGGGAGAGGTGTTTTGTTTTTTTTTTTTTTTCTAAACTCCCCAAACATGCCCCAGAGATGCTGCAAGCAGTTTTTACACCGCAATGCCTGAAAATACATAGATATACATTCATATACACAGGGATGCAGTTTTCTTAAGCTTTTTCAGGCACTTTTTTTTAAACGCAAAAATGCTCCAAAAACTCCTCAGTGTGAAAGTAGCCTAAGGCTGGCCATACATTATACAATTATCTGCAGATTTTTGGTTTAGATTTACCAAAAAAACCATATAATAGGAGGACAAACCTAAACAACACTTTCAGTTGTATCCAATTAGGCAGGCCCTTGCACTACATAAATGCAAAAAAATTGGGCCAAAAACTCCTCAGATAATTGTGAAATAGGCCAGCCTAAGAGAGAGGACAGAGGATTCATTCTGGGGTGTGGAGTAGGGCTGATGTGGCCTCCAGTAATTTATCTCAGGTGAGAGCACACCAAAAGGCAATTGGTGGAAGAGGCTCCTATGTAGTAGGAGGAGGCAGGGGCGGACTGACCATTTGGAAACTCGAGCATGCTGCCCAAGGTCAGTAGGGGGCCCCATGAGATGCCCCTGGTACCTTTTTCATAGGCTTTTTTGAGTTTGGGCAAGGACACAGGGGCCCCATGATCCCCTATTGCCCAGGGGGCCCCCATGAGTTGTCAGTCTACCCCTGGGAGGAGGATTGCACTAGAGAGAAGATGAAGACACTAGTCATAAGTAACTTTTAAACCATGGTGTTTGCACTTTATATTAATCATGTACTATTATTGAACAAGGAGTGTTTTTGATAATATTTGTGTGGTCATTAGTAATTATAGAATATTTGTCTATTGACAAATTGTTATCAATTTATGTGATTTATTAGTTTTGTATGAATTCGTTTATTTAGCGGTAGGGATTGTGTATTTTGGAGCACATTATTTTTCCTGGCTTACCTCATGTCAGCACACAATGGGTTAACTCCTCTTGAACCCACAGGAACACCTCTTCCTACCTCAATAATAGTCAGCACCTCGCCAACTGAACTGTTCTTTTGTGTCATGCTCCAGGCGATAAGTACTTTGATTGCTTCAAGTATATCTAGTCCACCCACCCAAAAAAAAAAAAAAACAAACCTGCACTTACCCTTCCAGGTTCAGCCTCTCCTGGTGTTTTAAGACCCAGATACTTGCAGGTAAACCTTTTAGGTGCTGAGAAGCGAGAAATGTTGCTTAGGCTGGCCATACACTATACAATTTTCTGACCAGTTTCAGCCCAATTTCCTTTAGATTTACCTTCCACTATGTAGTGCAAGGGCCTGTCTGATTAGATACAATTGAAAGTATTTAGGTTTGACCTCATATTATATGGTTTTTGGTAATTCTAAAGCAAAAATCTCAAGAAAATTGTATAATATGTATGGCCAGCCTTAAACAGCAGTATTGTACAGGTGTGGTATTAGTAAGCTCTGCAATGTCACCATTGGTCTCTCTCTTGGGTCTTTCTGTCTTGTTTAGGCAGGGTGTGTAGGGTTGCCACCTCGTCCCATTAAAACTGAACACATATTGATTTCACAGGTTCTGTGGCCATTACTTTAGACAGAATGGTGATGGAGATTGCGCACCTTCCTGCAAAGGCCCCTTTTGTGTCTTTTTAACAGAAATGGTGATACTACGACCAACTCCAAAGCTCTACTGGTGGTAACCAGTTCCCAGGAAACAGGGAGAGTCACTCTGAGTTTTTGCACAAGAGTCACTGAGTACGTAGCAGAAAGACTTCAGTTTCGTACACGTAGTCAAGTTGCTAACCGTGTACTTACAAAGGTCATAAGATGTGAGGAAAGTGGGCCATTTTTTCATTTTGCCATCAGGTCCTGAAGAGTCATCTTCTATTGGATTTCCAAGGTGATTAGATTGTCATGTAGGAAGTAGGTCTTTCTGCTCTGCAACAGATGCACTCTTATTGGACCAGAGGGGTGGCATCCTTTGGGGCAGTTATCCAAGGATTCTAGTGGAACATATTGTGTGGTGATGTGAGGTGGGTCAGGAATACAGAAAATTGTTATCCAATACTTTACCGTAATTTTTTCCTTTCCTGGTATAGCCTCCCATCAGCACAGGACTCCCTTCCTAGTGGCCTATCACAGGCTAGGTTATTGAACACTTCAATTTGGGAAGTGCTGTCTCTTATTGAGCTAGGAAGAGGTGGTTCTGTGGGTTCCAGAGGAGGAATTAACGTGTTGTGTGCTGACATGAGGACAGGCCAGGAGTGGAAAATTTACAGTAAGTAATTGATAACAATTTTCCTTAATTTTGGTATTGAGATGTGAACAGGGGTGGACTGGCAACTCATGGGGCCCCCAGGCAATAGGGGATCATGGGGCCCCTGTGTCCTTGCCCAAACTCAAAAAAGCCTATGAAAAAGGTACCAGGGGCATCTCATAGGGCCCCCTACTGACCTTGGGCAGTGCCTGAGTTCCAAATGGTCAGTCCGCCCCTGGATGTGAATCACTGTTCTTTTTCAGCTGCTCCTGACGTGTCATATACACTCACCTGCCAATTTATTAGGTACACCTGTTCAATTGCTTAATAACACCAATCACATGGCAGCAACTTAATGTATTGGAGCTTCTAGACGTGGTGAAGATGACTTGAAGTTCAAACGAAGCATCAGAATGGGGAAGAAAGGGGATTTAAGTGACTTTGAATGTGGAATGGTTGTTTTTGCCAGACGGCTGGTCTGAGTATTTCAAAAACTGATCTACTGGGATTTTCAATCAAAATAATCTCTAGGGTTTACAGAGAATGGTCTGAAAAAGTGAAAATATCCAGTGAGTGGCAGTTGTGTGGATGAAAATGCCTTGTTGATGTCAGAGGAGAATGGGACAGACTGGTTGCTGCGACATTCAGATGGCAGGGTCAGAATTTTGCGTGAACAACATGAAAGCATGGATCCATTCTTCCTTGTATCAATGGTTTAGGCCGGTGGTGATGGTGTGGGGGAGATTTTCTTGGCACTAGCAAGGCGTACCTAATAAAGTGGCCGCTGAGTGTAGTTTAGGATTGATTTTGGTTTGCTGTGTGGGGATTGGTGGTTTCTTTCTAGTTTTGTACAAATCAATGGCCAACGCTGTTCACATGTTACTGCTTGCTCAAGTGATTTGTGCGATTAGGGACTCCGACTGGCCCTGGTGTCAGAAGGAATAAAAAAAAATCACTGATATCAGTAGGATAACTAATCCCTATTGTTTGTGTCATTTTGAGTAAAAATAAGCTCCATTATTGGTGTCAATAAGCGGATAATAAACCTTCTCATTGGTATCAGCAGGAGGAAAATAAATTCCATATCAGCGGTTATATGTATGGGGGAAAAATGACCACCTAAGTAGGAGGGGAAAGACTCTATATTATTGGTGTCAGCGGGAGGAGAAGCGCCATCATTGGTGTCAGCGAGAGGAGAAAAACCTTTTACGCTGGTGTCTACACTAATAAAATAAGACTCATCATTGACTTCAGTGAGAGGAAAATAAGTCCCATATCATTGATGTCCCTAAAAGGAAAAGAAGCCCCATATTGTTGGTGTTCCTGGGAGTCAAAAAAGCCCCATATTATTGTCAGTGGGAGGAAATTGGCACCATATTGGTATGAATGGAGGGGAGAAGAAAAATAAGCCCCATCATTAGTGTTAGTAGAAATAAAATAGTCCCTGTGTTGGTGTCAGGGAATTAAAATGAGCTACATATCACTGAGTGGGAGTAAAATAAGTCCCATTGTTGGTGTCATTGTGTGGGTAAAATAAGCCCCATTGGTGTCAGTGGAAAAAAAAAAAACCCGTTGGCGTTAAAATTTTAAACTATTTTGTTAGTGTCCAGTGGGGATAAAATAAGCTCCACCACTGGTGACAGTGGAAGCATAAGTCCAATTTTATTAAAGTGTAAAGAGGAAAATAAGCCCCATATTTTTGGTGTCAGTGGAAAGAAATAGGCCCCATACTGGTGTCAGTAGGAGAAAATAAGCCCCATATCGGTGTCAGTGGGAAGAAGTAAGCTCCATCTTGGTATCAATGGAACAGAATAAGCTACATTGTTGTCAGTGGGAATAAAATAAGCCCCATCATCGTTAGTAGAAATGAAATTGGCCATGTGTTGTGTCAGTGAAATACAATAAGCCACATATTAAGTGGGAGTAGAAGAAATCCCATTGTTGGTGTGAAAGTGAATAAAATAAGTCAACATTGGTGTCATTGTATGGGTAAAAATAGGCCCTGTTATTGGTGTCAGCAGGAATAAAAAGAAGCTTCATTGTTGGTGTCAGTGGGGATAACAGAAGCTCAACCCTTAATGTCATTGGGGTTAAAAGAAGCCTCATAGTTATTAGGAGGACAATAAACCTTTTTGTTAGTGTCAGGGGTAGCAAAATAAGTATCGCATCACTGATGTCAGAGGAAAATCAGCCCTATACTGTTGGTGTCAGTGGGAGTAAAATGGGCCCCATGTCATCGGTGTCCCTGGGAGTAAAATGAGCCCCATGTCAGTGGGAGGAAATAAGCCCCATATTGGTATCAGTGAAAGGGAATAAGTCCATTTGTCATTGTCAGTGGAAGTAAGGTAAAACTCATTGGTGTTAGTGAAATAAAATAGGCCCCAAGTTTCTGGTGTCAGTGAAATAAAACCACATATCATTGATTGGGAGGAGAATAAGTACAATTGTCACTTTTGAGTAAAATATGCCCCATCATTGGCATCAGTATGAGTAAAATAAGCCCCATTGTTGGTGTTAGGAGTATAATAAACCATTTTGTTGGTGTCAATGGGAGAAAATTAAAACTTCATTGCTGGTGTCGGTGGAAACGAAATACTGTAAGGCCCATATCATTGGTGCAAAGAGGAAAATGAGCCCCATATCGTTGGTGTCAGTGGGAGGAAATAAGCTGCACATTACTGGCATCAGAAGGAATAAAAATAACCCCCATGGATGTTAGTGGGATGAGCTAATCCCCATCATTGGTGTCATTAGGAGGAGAAATAAGCCTCTTATTATTGGGAATAAAAATAAACTATACCGTTGGTGTTATTGGGGATAGAAAAAGCCCCCTCACTGTTGTCAGGAGGAGGATAGCAAACCTTTTCGTTAGTGTCAGTAGCAGCAAACTAAGTCCTGTATTATTGATGAAACTAAGAGAAGAATAAGCCCCATATTTTTGGTGTCAGTGGGCGTAAAGTGGGCTCCATGTTAGCAATGTCCCTTAGCGTAAAATACGCCCCATATTGATGTCAGCGAGGGGATTTAAGCCCCACATCAGTATGAATAGAAGGGAATAAGCCCCATCATTGTCAGTGAGCGTAAAATAACCCCCCTAATTGGTGTTAGTGAAAATAAAATAGACCCTGCATTGCTGGTATCAGTGAAATAAATGAATCCATACATCACTGAGCAAGAGGAGAATAAGTCCCATTGTTGGTGTCACTGTGAGTAAAATATGCCCCATTT